GGCTGCGCGGCATAAACTTACCCATACCTTATAAATTTGCAAAATCCAGCTGCCACTACATGCCAGGTGCCATTACAGGCCAAACAAAACGCCACATCGGGCCTAAAATTGGCCAACTCAGGCCTCAAGACACGCCACCATGACATAAGACTAAAAACATACGCCAAATCAGGCTCGAAAATGCGCCAAAAAAGCCAAATATGCGTAACCAAAAAAGAGACCAGAAAAAGTGCACCGCCGGGCTCGAAAAGTATGCCACGAAGGCTAGACAACTCGACCAAAATCTAAACGCAAAGCCAACATTCTGAACTTCGGGTAACCACGAAAAACAGAAGGTCGAGACTTATAGATCTGCTTCTGACCAGGACCCTCCAGTAGTAGATCCCCGATTGCAGGAAGAACAAACACTTCCGCGACATACGAGCTAAACCGAGAAGACCCTTCACGCAAAATAGGCCAAAAATAAGCGGAGGGCCATTCGGGGATGATCAATGTCCCGCGGCCAGAGCAAGACATAAGATGACGGACAGAATCGACGATTAGACTAACTGGGGGACATATCCAGTTGTTTTCGGCGCTCTAGTCTTGTGCCAAAGCGTCGACCCCACTGCATCCGGGAGAGGCAAACTTCGAGTGAAACCGAGGGAGCTGAGCATTGTAATAGGTCGCGAACCGGTTGAATGTATGAGGACCCCATTTAGCATCAAGGGGGGCCGGAAAACTGAAGGATTGACGCGCCAATCGTCGTTGTCAACGAATCGGCTTAGGAGATCAGCCCTCTCATTCTGCGACCTGGGAATCCACTGTGCTTCAAGGGTGACGACTATGCGCAGCTTCTTCCCTTTAGCAACTGACAAGGGGTTAACGCAAAAAGGCGGAACACTGTGCTTAATGATACAGCCGTTGGCTTAAAGCTCCGCGATGGCTTATGTCACAAACTCAGAATGCTGAAAGGCCGATCTATTCTTAGCCAAAAAAAAACGAGGGCGGATATTCCGAAAGGAAGCCTGTACCCACGCCTGATGGTGTCAAGTACAAACTCAATGGGGGCCAAAGGTACTCTTCCAAAATTCAATGGAGGCGATCAAACGACCGTTGACACCGCTGCTAATGCTTTTAACATTAAAATCGTCGTAACTACTCAAAAAAAAGGAAGAAAAATCGAACTCAACTGAATGCTGAAGAACGTCCTCTGAGCTTGAATCCACGTCTAGTCACAGGCGGGCCAGGCTCTGTGACAGGCTCTTTCACAGTGGATTATTATAGAGTTTGTATAGTGGTTTAGTTGGACTTGCTTTTGAGCTCCGTAAATTTAAAGTTGTGTGAAATAATCAAAGAAATAAAGTCTTACCTTAAGCTGAAACACAGCGAAATGGCCTCAAATCGCGACAAGAACAGCACAGACTACTTTGTATGAAGGTAAGACTTTATTTCTTTGATTAATTCACACAACTTTAAATTTACGGAGCTCAAAAGCAAGTCGAACTAAACCACTATACAAACTCTATAATAATCCACTGTGAAAGAGCTTGTGACAGAGCCTGTGACAGAGCCTGGGCGGCCTGTGGTCTAGTCAAGAATGGCGGGAGTCACTTTTGGCGCAACAGACGGCTTAGAACAGAAGGCGCTCAAATGGGCAAACTCCCCGCACTATAAGATAAACAACGCAAAATTAAAGTTTTGTATGCGATGGCGTTCACAACCCGAAGGATGAATACCAATTAACTTCAGACGTATTTACCACTATGCAAATAACTACACACAAGAGACATACCAGATCGCGTACTCAACGAGGACCACATTCCATACAGAACGTGCAGAAAACAAATATCTGCTAAATTTCGCAACGTAGATATTTAGATATAACTGTCCTGTGATTTTACACCACGTGACTTAAAGTAACCAATAAAATCGCGCCAAAATGAATGAGTGGGTTAGAAGCTCGGATATCTGTGCGCTCATTGAAATGTTCTGAATGGCTCGGGCTACTAGAGTGCAGCTGGTTTTAGTTTCCCAGTGAATACATTACTGATTTTTCCATTCTTTGATTTTGTTTAAGTATCACTGCACTCCTTAACTTGGTTTTGAGTATCAAAATGCGGACCTTAGGGGCCTGTGGGGGGTACGAACGCACCTCGTGCACCCCTCCCCCCTGGTTACAGCCCTGTGGTAATAGCTACAACTTTAAACATTTAACCAAGCGATCAAAACATGTACGTAATTCAGGGACACTATCTTCCATTAAGTCAATAACATCCATCAACCAGACCAAAGTACAGCTGCTGCACTGGGGGCAATATCAGGTTCGCACATGCTATAGCGTAAACATTTGGCGTATCCTTGCACACCTTGGGTTTGAAACGTGTTTCCGTAAGGGTGAAGTTCTCGTTCAGTTTGTACTTATCATCACTTGGTGATGACACCGAGTAGTTTTTGCTCTTGGTACTCTAGGGAATGTAATAAAAAATAATATCGAATAGCTGGTTTGCGCAGAAAGTCTCCGCAGACTCGGAACCTCTCGCTAAAATAAACAAAAACAAGGTCCCCCGGATTTCAGCTTAGGGATTGGTGCAGCGCGTTTTATTATTTAATAACACAATTCGATCTAAAATACAAAGAAACCACATTGGCAATCGGCCTCAGAAGTATTCAAAACAAACAGAAAATTAATTGTAATAACCTGGAAATCAACTCAGGAAAACTTACTTCTTCACTGCTTCCGAACTTGTGGCAGTTAACTGGTTAGCAATATTTCTTAAAGTGGTTAGCTTGGTTGAAACGGAACTGAACAACTGAACAGCTAGATTACGCGCCTTAAATTAAACGTTTCACGCGACAAACATTGCGATCATGATTGCTATATAACAACAGTAAACAAAACAGCGCGTGCGTTAAACTTTACAATTATTTATAATGAAATGTGTTCAGTGAAACAATGATATTTGCAAAAAGGCTATCTTGGCAATAAGCTCTATTGGTTGGATCAGAAAATACGTCCTGAGATAATCTTAAACGTATCGTAAATGCATTTGTTATAACAATCCTCGATTATCGCTATTCACCGAAGTAGATATTTACCGAGTAGCGAAGAGGCGAGGTAAATATCCACCGCAAGGCACCAACTAAGGTGCCAACTAAAGCTGGTGATTCTAGAAAGTTAGAGAGGGTACAGGAACGGGGCCTTAGGGCTATTTACTGTGATAGCATATCATCATATAGCGATCTTCTATAAAGGGCTAAATGAACAACCTTATATAATAGAAGATTACATGATATAGCCGTGTTAATGTATAAAGTTAAAAACGACCTGTGCCCAAATAATATTAAGAACTTGTTTGACATTAATAATAATTGATATAATTTAAGAGACAGTGATTTCACTATTCCCAGAGTAAGCACAACACGCTATGCTAAGCACTCTCTTAGGTACTTAGGTCCAGTAATCTGGTCTAAGTTAGATGGAAAAACAAGAACACTAAGAACGTTACAAGAATTTAAAAGCTTGCTTTACATACATTAGATATACAAGGTTTAATCTCCTCGGCCTTGCAAGAACTGTATTTTATGTAGATCTTAATATTTTACATTATCAGTATTGTATTTCTAATCTTTAAGGCAAGTTTAATTACACAGGGTAGGGTAGTACATATATATAGGGTCAAGTATACAGGGCAGGATTGCATATTTTATGCGTTTTATATATATCAGATTAGTTTAGGTGTCCTTATTTAGTGGGAAACTGCTATTGATTTGACGCATTAATAAAGTTTATTATTATTATTATTATTATTATTATTATTATTATGGGTAAGGGTTGTTGACTAGTTGTTTTGGTACTGTATGTAATAACAAAGTGCGGTAATAGAGCAAAAAAAGATGAATTTACCGCCTCATTTGATCTTGTAACGATACAATATTTTCGAGCGCAAATCTCGCGCGAGTTGCTAGGAGGTGAGTAGCAAAGGATACTCGGAGTTTGAGTGACCTATCAGAGCGCACGTTCAACGCTATCCGCTGCAGATTAGTATATGTATCTCATTAGACGTTTTGTTGCGTGGTATCGTTGCGTATTTTTACTAGTTGTGCCGTATTTTGACTCGCCCTACGGGCTCGTTAAGTACGGCACAACTCGTAAAAATACTCAGCGATACTACACAACAAAACGTATGATAAGAGATTCATTATCCAACACACCAAATTGTTATTTCAGTGACGGAGAATTTCGCGGATATTTCTGGAGTACAAATATCGCGTCATATTTGTACACGTTTTGCGAGTCATTTGTACTCTACGAACCACGGTTGTATACTAACTACTGAAGATAATTTCCTTCGACTTTTTAAATCGGTCATAAAAAGAGCTATGACGAGTTCAGAACATTGTATTACGTGTAATTAAGGGGACCAGTCAGAAAGACTACATTACTCCTGTGCTTAAGTAGCGGCTGCGAAAGAGACTGGACAAAAGCGACCCTTCTACTTTGCCATGGACGAACAGGAATCAACTGCAGTCCTCATGGTAGAAAAAACATTGAAATACTGACAACACAGTTTTCAGACCCAAACAACTCCCCAGGCACTAAACCAGAAGAACCCAATTGCATACAAGCAGATTGAATAATAGCCACGAAGAGGCCCTAGCTTCCTTCTTTATCACCTGTTGTTATTAAGTAACTGTTCAACGAGGAATTAAAGATAGGGAAAACATTTTTCAAAATTTTCTTACTTAACGAGTTATGTCGAGATGTGCTGAACGATATGTGATTGCTAGATTGATGTTGTAAACTTTTGTGTCCTAATGTTTTTTGGAAAGTTTTTTTTTTTGCGGATCGTGGACTATTCGCAAAATCACCGGCAGTAAATTCGAGTGAAAAGAGTATTGAAACGATGATAGGTGAAAGAATGGCTTCCGAAAGGCGAAAATTGATAAAGGACGTCAAACAAAATATCCCAATATTAACTAATACTCAAAAGTTATAACATATCATAAACAGACTTCACTACAGATCTACTACTTTAAGCACGACAAACACTCTTAACAAGAATACAAAATGCGAAAGCGACCAACACAAAATAAGTACAATGTCGTAAGCAAGAAGTTTCACTTCCAATCCATCTTCTCCCCGACCACTTTCGGTAGAATCTACATACTAAGATTACTGTAACTTGTACATAATTATCACTAACCTTGGTCGTTTCTAACTGTTCTGTCAACTTAAAGGGTATACTTGGCTTCTTCACAGAAGTAAAATGTGCCCATAAAGAGTGCTTTCTTAAACGCTGCTCGTTGTCTCTTTTCATTATAGAGAAAACAGGACTGTACATGGCAAGAGAAGCATAAAAGATAAAGGTTCATACAGTCGTATGGCTGCTTTTCCACAAGGCGGTCTGTCTGTCGACCATGTGATATCCGAAGGCCGCATTTATTATAAAATCGAAAAGTAGACGGCGGACATAAACAACAGAGCCAGCTGCATTGGAAGCGCTACTTCTACAGAGGACCACATGCGAAACACTACTCTACGAGCGATAAACCTCATTCCCGTTTTACCGAGAGAAAATAAAGGGACTTTTTCTCATGGTTTTACTTAACTAAATTGTGTGAAGGGAATGTCTAAAACAGCTCGGTTCCAGGAAGAATATTAAAAACGATCTACTTAGACGACAATCAAAAAATTTTGCTCTTCCGAGACAAACTGAAGTCATTCTTCAAGTGATAAAACAGAAAATTTGATAAAAATCTCCGTAACAAGTTCATGGACTGGGACAATTCTCCTCTGCTCCTCTGAGCTTCTTCCCGTTAATTTATGGAAAACAAAAAAATGGTCTTTTTTGTGGCTTGGCAGAGCTATCTGTGTTACTTTTGAAATCCCACAGTTATTCTTTATCTTTAAATTCTCGCAGTATTCTGTATCATTCAGCTGGATCTTCATCTTCATCATCCTCAACCTGAGACTTCTCCGTTAGAATCACATACTCTCTTGTACTGAAGCCGAATTTAAGAACATCCTACAAGAAATAAAATACATAATTATTAGAAAACCGAAAGGAAATACCACATAGCAAATGCTAGCTGGGTGGTGGTTATGGTGAAAAACTGTGCTACTCGAGGCCACAGGCGTCACCAATCTCGGAAAGTTTCATTTTTGTAAACAAATAGATAAAACTAACGCAAGTGTTATCGCGTTTGTGGGCAGAGTTGGGAAAATCTTGCCTGTCCTAAGAATAAATCAGATTGCAGGATTTGTTTAATGTGCCCTCTTTGAAGAAAATTATAATAATAAAAAAAGCAGTGCCACAAACACAAGCACGTAAAGCGGAAAGACGAGATTAAGATTGATTGCTTTTGATTGCATGTACCGTACTTGCCCAGTATTCTAAAGTAGAATACGCAAGCCCCGAGTCTTGAGACTCCGCTTACAACACGTCACTTAAAAGACAGCTCGTCCGTTACGTATTTTTTTGTCCTAGCGTATTTAAAGCTGTTACCTTTTCCTTCAACTCATAGAATCTTCTGGGCTCAATTTTCTGGTTGTTGAGGAATGTTCCATTTGCAGATTCCAGGTCAATGATATATGGTCTATAGGTGGAAAAACAAAAACAAACACTAAAATGAGAAATACAGTAGACTGACTTTTCTCAACAGTTTACAAAAAAAGAATCATAAAAAAATAAGTGATGGGAAGTGCCTAGTGGTTGGAGATCGATAGACCTTTGCTGGTCAAGAAGAAGAAGAATAGATGAGCGTTTAATCATTATCATTAATTAATATTGTCAGCATTATAAATTTCCTGGGATAAAACTATAACAAATTTGAGCACTATAGCAGAAAACACAAAATATCACATACATGTAAGGGCTTGGTCTCTTATGGGGTTTTGATTTGTTTTCCTAATGGTACTTAATGCCCACAGCTTGAGTAATTTTGAAAACTTTCCAAATATCACTTGTGTCTACATGTTGCTATATGCTTGAATATTAAATGTAATGTCCCTTAGATATGCTTGACATTGAGCTTTGGGGATTTTCAAACTAACGTAACAATAGTTTACCACTACACAGTCATAAAATAATAAATCACTTGCTTTTTTCCCAACCATCAAGAACATTTAAAAACATCTACATACTTGACTTTTTTGCTAGAAGTACCATCTGGCCTTTCATAATCTACCAGTCTGTATTGGAGGACTGCATGCTGTTTTGAGCAAGATGGATGATCTACTGCAATATCAACAATCTGAAAGATGCAAAAGCAGACAATAACTTACCGCTCCTGTAAAAATTGTAAATTCTCCACATTTATTAAATGATGGCAGAGGTTTCAAAATTGCCTGAAACTTTTGCAACCTTTTGATTGCATGTATCTTTATTTTAGATTTTTCTTACATGTTAATAAAACAGAAGCTCACCCAAGAAAATCTCAAAAGTAGAATTGTTTGGTTTATAAGAAAAATGACAAAAACTTACATGTCTCTGTCTTCCAATCAAATAAGCACTTTGTCTGTGAATGTGCATAACAGCTACACAAAAAAAAGCAATGGTCTGTTTTCTACATTAAAATTATATTAAATGGAGAAATCGCTCCCAGTGCAAACAGAATAAATTGTCAAGGGACAAATGAGAGAGGCTCTATAACCTTGCAAAAGATAATCTTAGTAGTTGTAGTAAGGTACATTGAGCTTCAATTAACGCAGTTTTTAAATCAAGAAACACCAAACAGTTTAAATGTCTATGAGGGGTGTCCATTACAGGCCCTGGCTTCATTTTGGCTTTTGTTAGGGGTGTTAATTTCAATGATATACAATAATCTTGGGAGGTTAGGACAAGGAATTTGTGAGCCTGCAGGTACTTACACATTGCCTCTTCTCCTTTAAAAGGATAAAGACGCCATCTTGTCCTTGGCTTTCTGGCCTCTGCAGGCTCATTATATTTGATAACCACACCCTTGAAACAACAAATAATATTACTGATATCAACCTTTAGACTGTTAACAATTGTTGAAATTTACTGGTAGTGACTCTGTATCGCTTTAACAATAACAAGACCAGTAATGCATTTCAAGAAGTATGTACCAGTGCTCAAAGCTCAAGAATTTTCAGAGTAGACATTTTTTTGACCCAAAATCAGAAACTTAAAGTTGATATAGAAATTGAGTCAACAGTGGCCAACAATCAGTTTTGAAGGTTGGTCTGCCATCTCAAGACTAAACAAATGCACAACCAGCATCAATGGAGAACTAATTAAATATATTTTTGCTAGTGTTTATCTCCCTTTTTTTGGGGGGGGGGGAAAGGGCACTGAATTAAAAAATACTGGTACAGCTTGTCACCTAACTGCTGAAAACAGGTGGTAAATTTGTCAACTCTTGCTGACTGAAAATGTAGTCACCACAAATTTTATTCTAATTGCTGTTGCAACCAAAATATTTGTAACTTGGACTGCTATGTACTGAGATTGTCTGAGCAGTCTTGTGATAGGAGAAAATTAATGACATTTCCACATCTTGGTAATTTTTTTGAGTCAGTTTAGTTTAGTTTATTAGCTTTGCCGACAGGCAGGGACACTGCAACAGCTTGCGCCAATTACTGCGGGCCCAGTAAACCCACCCATCCCAGCCCAGGAGAGGACATCCACCACACAGTAATCTCGTGTGTGGGAAATTAACGTCTCCTACCCCTAACCCTGCAGGAGATGGGGTCTATGGTTTATTCGTCCTTATTCAAGAAGACTAGAATATCTATCCATTTCTTGATATTATAGAAAGGTAGCAAATTCTCAGTCAGTTATTTTAAGACCATGAGTATTGGTCCAGCTGGGGCTTGAACCCTCGACCTCCCACACTACACAATCCGGAGCTCTAACCAATTGAGCTAACTGTAAGGCGGTTGAGTCAGAGATATATGCCTCTACCACTGTGATTCAATTCACACAGTTGCTATCAGAAGGCAGAGGTGGCAGTGATGGTGGTGAATTACAAGAGCTTGTGTATTGCCTATAGTTGAAATCCACATACCAAAGAGATTCGCACTTTTACTAGAGATTTGCTAAAGGCAAAATGTACATAAATGAGCTAAATGTACAGAACTGGAAAGCAAAACAAAATACAAATAAAACAGGCAACTGAAAATGATGGACAAAACAATGAAACTTAAAAGATTATGCGGCGACTACGACGACTAAAACATAATGACAACAGCAACAAGAAAACTACGGCAGAAGAAGCTATACCAACAATAGAAACAATGCATAAAGAATGAATACAAAAATATGAAATGTGATGTAACCAAAAATGACTGGCCAGCCTAATAAAATAATAAATATACACAGACAACTGAAAACGGAAAACAATGTACTAAAGGCGTGAAGGCAATCCAAGGTGAGGTGCCCTGACTACATTGCCTATCTTTCTCATGTGTATAGTGCTTATATTGTTTTCTACACTTAAAATTAAAACTTAACATCAAATCACATTCAGCAGATACATGTCTTTTGAGTCAAGGGGCTGAAGGATTTTATCCCAAATGTACCATTAATG